TTCTAGCTCCATCCATGTTGCTGTGAATGGCATGAGTTTATCTTTTTTGATTGCTGAGTAATATTCCCTTGTGTATATAGACCAGAGCTTCTTGATCCAATCTTCTGTTTTGGGGCATTTGGGTTGTTTCCAAGTTTTATCTATTATAAATAGTGCTTCAATAAACATAGGAGTGCAGTATCCTTTTGAATTTAGTTTTTGAGTCCCTTGGGTAGATCTGTAGGAATGGAATTGCTAGGTCATATGGTAGCTCTATTTTTAGTAGCCTGCCAAAACTCCACACAGCTTTCCATAGTGGTTGGACCAGTTTGCACGTCAGCCAGCAATGTAGGAGAGTTCCTTTTCACCACATCCTCACAGGCATTTGTTGTTGCTAGTTTTTTTTTTTTTTTTTAATGCAACATTCTTAAGTGTAAGGTGCTATCTCATTGTGGTTTTGATTTGCATTTCCCTGATTATAAGGGGTGTTGAACATTTTTTCATATGCCTGTTGGCCATTTGCATTTCCTCCTTGGAGAAGTGTCTTTTAAGTTCTTCTGCCCATTTTGAGACTGGATTGTTAAGTTTGTTTTTGTTGAGTCCTGTGAGTTCTTCGTCGATCTTTGTGATCAATCCCTGATCGGTTGTATGGAGTCAAGATTTTTCCCCCCAATCGGTAGGGTGTCTCTTAGTTTTGGTTAATGTCTCTTTTGCTGTACTAGTAACACTTTCTCTTTCTTCCTCCTGCTCTTACTCTCTCTTCCATTTCCCCTGTTTCCCAGGAGTGTCAGTTTGGACAGAAAGTGTCAGTGACGACAGATGGAAAGATCAAGAGACAACTCCTACAGGGCAGGGAGGAAGGTGCACCATGGGGGAGAAACTGAGTCATGGGGATTTTCCCCAAACCTCACAGACGCAAGCAGGGACAGATGGGGGGGGAACCGAGCTTTTCTGTAATAAAGAGGCCCACTTAGAATTAAAAAGAAATCAATTGAGCAGCAATACATGTCCAATTTAGAAATTGCAGATTAACAACCCACCAGGGGCAAAGGAAGAAGAGTCCTTAGCTCAGCTGGCAGAGACCTGGACCTCCGCAAGCTGACCCCCCACCCTTACTAAGAAGCAAAAATGCAGTTATATTACTTAGTGTGAGCTTTCCCCCTTTTTTCAGCTTATTCATGTCATGATTTGCTCCACCCATTTCCTCATGTGGACATTTAAGTTATTTCTAATTCTGACCAAGTCTCAGTAAATCCTGCTCTGTCTCCTTCGCTATAAGCTTGCTGTGGGCGGGTTAGATCAACATAGAATAATTTTTGATTTTTTTCCCTGAATCACAGTTGTACATCAGACACTCCACCCGATTTGTCTTTTTGCTGGTGGGACATCAGCCTCACCGTCATCCCCATGTGCGTTTTCACTTTTAAAATGAAAGACAACAAATGCGTGGTATTAACATTTACGTCTTTGTTTATCGGTTACTTCTAAATCAACTCTGTTTCCACAGGCTTATTGTTTAATTGTGTTTCTTCCTTTGTGGGTTGCCTTTTTTATGACCTTGAGCCATTACATTTACAAAACAAATGTGACTTCAAGAATATAGATCTTTGGCACACCTCTTGCTAATAACTTGTCCTCTTCAGTGCTTCGTTTTATAGTGTTTTTGTGGCTTTTTACTTCCCGAAGTTTAAGATTTTACCTCAATCCATCCATGCCTTTCTTTTTCATGTTCCTGCTCTTGACACCATGCTCCTCACTCAAAATCGAATGAGACCTGATAGGAGCAGAATTAATGTCTCCAAAAGTAAAAAAGCAGAAAATTGATTTTTCTAGCTCCCTGAGAACTTAGGGAAAGCCACCGAGGTTGTGAGAAGGGAGGGGGACGCTCCCTGAAAAGCTCAAGCAGGTCTGTGGTGGCATCACTGCCACCTCTGGACATGACCTTGGGCAGCTGACCTTGGGCGGCTGGCCGGGGAGGCCACTCTCCCGCGAGGAAGTGAGCAACCAGTGGTCACTCCAGACTTGCCTCTACTGCTGAGAAAATGTGTCACGAGTGTTCTTCTTTATTCTTTTCATTGCAAAAACAAGTCCATTTCCAAAATTTCTAATGGCCCAGAATTCATCATGTGAAAAGTGAAAGATGCCTTTTAGTTTCCTGGAAATCTAAGTCCTCACAGGGTGTCCGGGCAACATGGGTTCTCAGGCCTTTCCCGTCACCCACTGAGCCACTGATAACTGGATAGTCTAGTATACCAGGCCCTCACTCGTAGGCCACCTCATTCTATTTTAATTGTTGGACAATAGGATGTATTGCTATTTTCGTTGTTTGTCTTTTTTTATTACAAAAACTTCCAGAGCAAACATTCTTGAACAGAATTTTTAGACATTCATGCAAGTTTGTTAGACAGAGGGAAAACAAGTCAGGAGGCTCGCGTAGACACACTCGGGCAGAGAGAGCTCCCCCCCCCCCACCACCATCGGGTGGGCGTGTTAGAAAAGACGCCCAGGCAGGCAGCCTCTGGAGGGAAGCTGCTGCTGCACGTACTTTTTTTTTTTTTCTTTAAGATTTACTTACTTATGCACACAAGAGCTGGGGGACAAGCCAGAGGTGCGCGGGTGGGGGCAGGGTAAAAGGACTGACCAGAGACAGAGCGGGGAGCAGAACAGGTGAAGTGCTAAAATCCACTGCTGAGGGGAGCCGCGGGGAGCCAGGGAGGTCTGTGGTGCCCTGTGGGTCACTCCCTGGCCAGGGATGGAACTTGCACTGAGGTGTCTGCAGCCAGCTTCACAGGGCTGCACTTTAACCTGCTGCGCCACCAGGGAGGGCCCTACCACTGCAAATACTAATCTAGAACAGACGCCTCACATTAAAATTACCAGGCCAAAAATAGATGTATTTTGAAGTTGGGTGGAAATTGCCAAAGTCTGCCTGCGGTGAGGCCTGGATTAACGTCCCCTCCACTATAAGGAGGTGCTGATAGCCCCGCGTCTCGTCCGGAATATAAGTCTTTGTCTTTTCTCTAATTTTGCCAGCCGCTTGGTAAAAAGTGGCCTCTGCTGGCGGTGACAGCGACACAGAGTGTTCCCCGCTGACGCGCCTCTGGCGATGTTTCCACTTCAGGCAGGACCGAATTTTGAATGTTGGCTTTTTCCTGGGTTGGAGGTTTCGTGTGTGGCGATGCTTAAGCAGCAGCTCCGAACCCCAGCTCCAGCCTTCAGTGGGGTGACCACAGAGTCTATGTGGATTGTGGGGGCTTCTTCAACGGCACTCCCCACTTTGGTGGCCTCTGCTCATCCTGATAAAGCATCACGTGCTGGCCGAGATGGTGACATGAGATGGCTTCTCTATTTATTAGTATGCAACGAAGTTTTTCTTCCACATTTATGTCCTCTGCCCATTTCGAAAACGGAGTCTTTCTCCTTGCTTGATAGAAATACTTTACATCGCTTGGACTGTAATAATTTGCTCTGATGTCGCCATGTTGCGTCGACCTCTCTTTGCCGATGTTCACCTGGCTCCTTAGGCTGTCTTGTTTGAAAAAATGGCTTTGGGTCACCTGTCTTTTCTTTCTCAGCGCGCGAAAACATCCCCCGCATGGTTCTAACCCGAGTATGGGTTTTGTTAACATGTTAACATGGAAGAAATTAATCCAACTTTAGCTCCTTTATGTAGATGGTGTGAAATAGGGATTTGACCCATAATCCAGAAGTAACTGCGCTGCTCAGGCTTCCTTCTACCCGGCCGTCGAGGGCCACTGCTTTGACGTAACTTCATCAGCTGGGAAACGTTCTGAAAGGGCCATTCTTGAACTAAAGTCGGAACAGAAGATAAGCACAATCCTAGAGATTCCTCATCAGCCGGCCCTAAAGAATCCTGCAGCTGGACAGCTACTCGGGCGTCCGTCAGGGCGCCCCTCCCCCTGAGGCCGGGTGTCTTGTGCCCCCGGCTCCCGCGTTGCTCACGCCTGTCTCTCCTTTCCGTGACCCTCTCTTGCATTCGCCATCTTCCTGGTTTTAGAATCATTTGCTCTAGCTGCTTACTGTGATTTCGCCCTCCCCGCGCATGTTTGTTTTGGAACAAGTCTCTGTTCACCTGCCTGCGAGTTCCAGTAGAGGTGTGCACAGGATGCCAGTTTCCTGAGTTTCGGGGACTCAAGCATGTACAGCTGAGGCTCAATTTGTATTTGTCTTTTTACAACAAAAACAATTTAGAACATCAAAACACCTGTGGGCAGGAGCATGAGGGCTTCACAGGAAGGCGTTTCCCGTATTCGTAGCCATTGGATAAATACTGCACCCTGCTACCCGCGGGGACCGTTTACCTGCGTCTCCCGTGACCCTGTGAGGAGCCGTGCGCAGAGCGGGAGAGGCGGCTGCGTGTGGCCTTTGGTTCCTTCTTAGCTGAAGGGTGACCCTGAGAGACTTTGTTTGACCTCCCCTTTTCTTCAATGGGGATAAGACCCACCTGCTGTGATACTGACATGGGATCAGAAAAGACACTCAAACAGACCTGCGCAGAAAAGAGCCCATCAGCAGGTTTGTGTGCCTGTGTGTATGTGCAGGTGCCTGGATGTGTGTGCCCGTGTGCGCCTGGATGTGTGTGTCTCTGTGTTGCCTGTATGTCTGTGCACCTGTATGTCTCTGTGTGTGTGTCTGTATGTGTGTGTTTGTGTGCGCACATGTATGTCTGTGTGTCTCTGTGTGTGCCTGTATGTCTGTGTGCCTGTGTGTGTGTGTCTGTATGTGCACCTGTATGTCTGTGTGCCTGTGTGTGCCTGTATGTGTGTGCCTGTGTGCACCTGTATGTCTGTGTGCCTGTGTGTGTGTATGTGTGTGTCTGTATGTGCACCTGTATGTCTGTGTGCCTGTGTGTGCGCCTGCATGTGTGTGTGCGTGTTTTCTATGTGACTGTAAAAAAAAGAGAGGCACGTGGTTAAGCTCTCCGGGGGTGGATTCCACCCCTCTCAACTCAGTTCCTTTTGCCAGAAGAGCTCAGAATCACAAGGAAACTAACCCCAAAGATGAGTGTGTCCTATACAATCGTAGCCAGCTTCTTTCTGATGTGCTTCTCCCCCAAGGGTAAGTTGGGGTGCAGGCCTCACGGTCAGCTGCAGACACTTCTCGGGAGGCCCGAGGGAGCGGGAGGACCAAGGGCTCACAGCTCCCCTGGCAGTGCTGGCCGCTCGAGACCTGTCTTGCTGTTTCAGGGCCCGGGACTGAAGCTGTTTCAGGTGCCAAGACTGAGACCGTGTGGGGAGCTCTGGATCGTGACTTCTACCTGGGCAGCCCATCCACACGCTCTGATGTGGACATTCGCTGGTATAAAAATGGAACAAGGATACAATTCAAAGAAGGCTCCCAGACAGACGGGCCGTACATGGTGTTTAAAAATGCAACTCTGAAAATTAAAGGTTTGAAGAGAGACCATGGCGGTCTTTACTCAGTGGAAATATTTGGCACAGATGGCGTACAAATTCGTGAAAATATCTATGAAGTGAAGGTTGAAGGTGAGTCTTTGTTCCCTAAGTTTCTCCCTGGCAAACGGGGTGCCATCTAGCAAGTTGGGGGATAGTATTTATGGAATGTCCCTGGCCCTGATTTCTACCTAGGGGATCCCTAAGGGCAGTGAATGCTTCCCCCCTGCTTCACTGGAGACTCCTGTGACCCCATGGGAGAATCCCCCATGAGGAAACACGAAGTACCTCAAGCCTGCCTGCCCAAACTCTCTTCACTGGCTAGAGGGCTGTGAGGTGGAGGCTGGATGAAGCGGCTTTTGTCAGAGGGAGAGGAGAGGATTCAAGGAGATGGTGATTCAAAGCGGGTAGCGAGGGGGTGAGGCAGGTGCGGGGCAGGGAAGGGAAGGCTGACTAGCGAATCAGGGCTCTCTGTCTAGGGAGGCCATTTCTAGTCAGGAAGCCTGAAAGGGGCTGCTGACAGAAAGTGCTGGAAACAGTGAATTTGGGTTGCACAGTCCTGTTTCTCCACGTCGGAGTGATGGGAGAGGACTTTGGCGAGTCAGAGTAGAGCACATCTGAGCTGTGCCTTTGTCTGGCGCTGCACGAGCCCCTGGAGCCAGGGGTGGACACTGAATGTGGAAGTGAGGCTCTGGCCAGGATGCTGCTGTGGGCAGTTCAGGAAGGAAGGTGCTTCATGGTGCTTCGCCCTGTTGCCTGGCTTGCAATGAGAAGAGGAAGTGTCTTGGAGAGGACCTTGGGACTCGGGGGGCAGGAGGGCTTGGGGGAGCACAGGTGCCCCAGCATAAGCCCCTGCTAGGGACTCAGCAAGCAAACAAACACTTCCGCGCCTCGCACAGGAAATGTCACCAGAGGCAGGTGCCTCAGACCCGGTGCCCTCTGCCTCCCGTCAGTACTTGGCTGGGGCGGCCTGCCCCACACCCAGATGGTAGCTCCGCTGCCAGTGACGCCCTCGTCCTGTGGCCCTGACTGGGGAGCACTTTCCAGAATGGGGTGGGGCTGAGGACAGGGGCTGAGGGGGCTGCTCTTTTGGGGGCTCTGGGGATCCTAGAGCTCACCCATCTGGGGGTCACCAGGGTCCCAGCTAGCTGCTGGGCATGTGGCTCACGCCATCTCACGGGACGTCCTGGCGGTCCAGAGAGGCCTTGGTTCTCCCTGGTGTCAGGAACCGAACCAACTGCCCAAAGGTCCCTCTCACCCGAGTGAAGACAACCAGGGCTGTTTTTGGCCTCTTTTTGTTTTTTTAGCAAAGAAGCCCCATTTTTTTCCCTCTCTAAATATCCTTCTTGAATTACAATTTAAGTGTATAATTCAGTGACTTTTAGTCATTCATGCGTTGTGCCACCAACACGAATCATTAGTTCTAGACCTCTGTCCCCGCGATACAGCCCGCACGCACGCTTTGGCCAGGGGCCAGCAATGTGGCCGTGGCATGGCAGTACCCCTCGGTGTGAGCGAGCGTGTGAGCGAGCGTGTCAACACCACACAGCATTTCATTTTAGTTTATTATAATAGTTTATTTTTCCATCTAGTTGCAATCCCCGTGGGCTTTCCCTCACCAGATCACCCTGTGCCATCACCATAGTCCCGTGCACTCCCCCCACCCCCGTTTTTGACCCCGTCCCCCACTTCACCCCCGTGAAATCTCTGGTAGATAGTTGCTCCCTGTTATTATTGTTCCCTCAGCTCCCCTGTTCCTTTATTCTCCTGCTATGAGTGAAACCATCCGTTATTTTTCCTTTTCTTTCTGGCTTATTTCACTAAGCATGATCCCTTCCAGCTCCATCCATGTTGCTGCAAAAGGCCTGTCACCCAGCATTTTAACTTCTGGTCACCCTTGCTGCCCTCATGGCCTCGGTCAGCTCTCCCTCTGCCTTGAGTCTGACTGTCACCGCGATGGTCTTTGGGGTCGGAGTGGAGACAGGGCTTCCACAGGAAAAACCACGCCGAGGGACACCGGCCAGTGTGCTCAATGCTAATGGCCTCTCCCCTTCTCCTTTTCTGGGAGCTTTCATCTCGTTCCCACAGCTCCTTACGTAAGGGAGCTGTGGCCTCTGCAGAGAAGGCAGGGGAAGGCCCCTTAAAGCAGGTGTCAGCAGGGCCCATCCCTCACCTACGGGAGGTGCCCCCACCTTCAAGCTGCTCCCAGAGAGGCTGAGGTGTGAGGTCAGGTGATGCCCTGCTGTTGGTGAAGCAACTAACTCCAGGAGGGGAGTGCAAAGCCCCAGCGGTCATTTCAGGGAAGCAAACTTCGTTTAAAGAGCTGGTGGAGATGTCTGTTTATTGATCATGAAAGAAGGCATTTTATAACAGGTCAGGAATGAAAAAGATGGACTCCAAAATCGTACAATCTGGTTGTATCTTCTAAAATATTTTTAAATGGGTATTTATTTATGCATATAAGAACCGGAGGTGCAGGCTGTGAGAGGATTCACCAGAGACAGTGGGGAGCAGAACAGGCAGGCTGATGAGGTACCCTGCTCAGGGGAGCAGGAGACGGACCCCTCAGGAGAGGTTTGCTGCGCCCTGTGGGTCAGCTCCGGGGCTGGGGACTAAACTGGTGCTGCAGCTGCTTCAAATGCTTCATATTGCTGCGCTTTAACCTGTTGCGCCACCAGGGAGGGCCCTTAAAATAGCATTTTAAAGAGAACACTGGGTGTCAATGTCCTATAAAGTATTAATAATTTTTCATTCTGGGGAGTGAAACTGCAAGATATTTTTAATCTAAAAGCATTTGTGTGTATTTTATCACTTTTACAGTGATGGGACATGAAGCGTTAGCAAAGAGGATATTTCCATTTTGAAAAGGTGCATAAATGTCTGGGCCCGACCCCCCAGGGGGGCCCTCAGTGACCCTGCGGGCTCGGGTGACGTCTGTCCACCCCGCTGCGTCTGGTCACACAGGCGTTCCAGCGCGTCTCCACTCGAGGACAGAAATCAAAGGACAGAAATTCATGGGGAGAGGTGTCGATGCCGGGGAGGCAGGGGGAGAAGCGGGGTGCCTCCGTCTAACAGATGGAGAAGGCGGAGGCTCTGGGGGAGCACGGGGCGACTAAGAGCGGGCAGGAGAGAGAAGGAGGTCGCCCAGCTGGGAAGAGGCAGCGCTAGGGTGGACCCGGCCTCGTTATCCCATGACACAGCCCTTGAGTTTAGTCACGTGAGGAAGGGGTGAGGGGCTTGTCACATGTGTCACCCTCACCCGGATTGGGAGTGCCTGACAACCTGCCCCTGTGGCCAGACAGGGCAGGGTTTCCTTTTTTTTTAACTGGAAAATTGTTTTCTTTTATTTTTGTGATATTTATGGTGTGACGTTCCATTATAAGGTTAAATAGGTTCTTGAATCACCATCTGGACAGACGGCACCGCATTCACTGTTGAGTGCCCAGCTCTATCCTTCACCATACGATTGGCCCCTTTTACCTGATGTACCTCCTCTTCTCCCTTTCCCTTCTGATAGCCATTAATTTGGTCTTCTAATGTGGATGTTTTATTTAGTTTATTTGTTTCTCTTATTTCTTTATGTGCCACCTATGAATGAAATCTTACAGTGCTTGTTTTTCTCCATTTGACTTATCTCACTAAACATAATACCCTCTAGGGCCATCCATGCTGTTGAAAATAACAGCATTTCACCCTTTTCAGGGCTCAGTAGTATTCCCAGTGTGTGTGTGTGTGTGTGTGTGTGTGTGTGTGTGTGTGTTATCTTTCTCTAATCATTACTGGTGGGCATTCAGGTCGGCCATTTGCTATATCATCCTCTGGCCAGTGAGGCTCAGTGAGACCCAGTGGCTTTGGGAGAGGAAGGGGCTGGTGCTCCCTCCTCTGGAGCTTAAGCAGCCCACCTGTTCCTCTTTCCCAGGGCCTGGCAGTGGGTGAGGGAGATGGGCTTTCTCTTATGACCAAGGTCCCAGGGCACACAGGGAATCAGGTAGTGATGCCTCCAAGGTAAGACCCTCGAAGCAGTGCACCCCAAGTCTGAGGCTGGTAGGTGCAGGTGGCAGCTGTCTCGTGTCTGCATGCCACTGAACTTGGACTTCAGAAAGGGGTTCTTCTCCTGACCTGCCCTGTATTGTGCGGCCCCTGGATCACCTGTTTAACAGTTCAGAGCTGTAAGCATTTCACCTACAAAATAGGAAGAAAAACATCAGCCTTTCTGTTAAGACCAAATGATGTTATGTCTATGAAAACATTTTAAGGTATAAAACATCCCATAACCATCTGATATACCTTTTTTACTGGTGTAATGCATTTGTGAACTTTATCAGAAGTAGATTTATTCTGAATGTGCTAAATAAATAAAATGAGAATGTTATTTTGAAAATAACTGGGGGTCTTTGGAATGGGGCCCTGGTGCTCCTCTCGTCTAAAAGGTATTCCTATTAAATCAGAAATCACGAATTTCATCTCCACTTTCTTTTCAGAGGCAGTCTCAAAACCTAACATCATCTGGGACTGTCAGAACAGAAGCTTGACCTGTACGCTAAGTAACAATTCTAAAGTGAATTTAACACTGTACAAGGACAGAAAGTATATTCAAAGCATCCTACCGAATATCACTTACCAGTGGCGTGAGAGCAAGAACATCTTCAACTGCACAGCAAGAAACAATGTCAGCGTGGAGTTCGATACCCTGAATACCGCTATCTGTTCAGGTACGTGGCCAGCACTGGGTGGTGACCTGGGCTCACCCAGGAACACAGCGTGCCGGGCCCACGGCAGAGGCCCACACCAGGGCCCAGGACCCAGGCAGGGAGCTTGGCTCAGGATGAGAATGGAAACCCCCTGTTCCTCCTGGACTCCTGCAAGAGAAGCTAGAGAAGCGGGCGTCTGTGCTCACTCACCTTGGGAATCTTCCCGCGAGCACAGAGTCAACCCAGGCAATTACAAATGGCCTGGGAGAAAGAATAGCCAGACCGAATAGGGGGTTGCTATCGAGGTTATCTCAGGCAGACGCCCATTTCCCGGAGAGGAAAACTGATGTGGCTGAGGCCCCTGGTGAGTCGGTGGCCACGGGGAAATGATGAAGGGAGCCACTGGGGTGGCCTTTCTGGAGGAGGGTGGCAAACATCTCTTGTCAAAGGCAAAGACAAAGAGTCATAGAAAGCTTGGGAGTGCAGGGCATGGGGAGAGGAAGATATTGGGGTCAGGGAGGACCCTCCCACACAGTGGGGGCTGTTCCCTTGCTTCAGAGGGGACAGGTAGCATCGATCTAGCACCAGGCAGTTTTGAGACCCCAAGGTGTAAGCTGGTCATGGCACCCATGTAATTTTCAAGAGCCACTGTCAAGCTTAGGTTCTGGGCTGACGCCAGGGGCCTGGACTTTAAGTTTGTCCAGATTTAGTAGTTTGACCTTGACAAGTTTTCTTCCTCTTTCTGGTCTTCAGACTCCTAACCCCCAGGAGTCTATTTGCCTGATATACTGTGATTTTATTTCCAGCCCCACTGAAGCCTAACTAAGCATGAACATTGCTGTTTGACCAGCAACTTGAGTTTGTGCAGAGACCAGTGTCTGGCCAGTGACCCCAGGAAGCATCCCTGGGCTGATGTGAAGTCATAAGTGAGGATTTTGTAGTACCACTTTGAATTAGTTATCAGGGACTGCATAACAAATTACCCCATACTGAGTGGTTTAAAACCACAAGGACTTCTTGCTGTCTCAGAGTTTCTGTGAACTGTGACTCTGGGGTGACTTCGTGGTTCTGGCTCCGTGTCTTTCATGAAATTGCAGCCAGAACTGGGCGGGGCTGTAGCCTTGCTGACCACATCCAGGCTCCATGGGGCGGGGGCACAGCTAAGCCCACTGAGAGACATTGGGCTCCCTCACAACATGGCAGCTGGCTTCCCCAGAGACATCCCAAGGAGAGCAAACTAAATGTCCAGGTAGCGTCCATGTAAGTGGACAGTAAATGTCCATGGTGAGTAAGCCGTGGTCTGCTGGTGACTTACTCACAGGGGTGTTATGCCATCGCTTCTGCTGTTCCTACTCGCTAGAAGCAGCTCTGTAAATCCGACCAGGAGGATGACACCAGGAGGGGCTTCCGGGGGCCACGGCCGCTGGAGGCCATGGTCGGGTCCACTCGCCATACACCGAGGCCTCGGGTTGCCCCTTCTGGCCTCCCACGTGCCCCCCACCAGGGCGCAGAGAATGAAGCTGCCTCTCCTGGACTTCATGGCCTCTCTTTCCCGTTGGGGAAGGCCCCTAGTGAATGAGTTGCCGCACTGAGCAGATAAAAAGGCAGCACAAATATGTTCTAGATGTGGCAGGGAGAATGCGTAGACTAGACCCAATCTGGGCATTCTGTATTGTACCTGGCAACCTGCTCTTCCTCTAGCCCGCCAGCACACCACGGGCATGGAGGGAGTCAGAGGCCTTCGGAGAAGGAGTTGCGAAGAGTACAACATTGTGTTATTTTTTGGGTGCAGGACAGGAGCCTCCAAGAGCCACCAGAGGCAGGAACTCTCCTGTGGTTAGGGGGACGAGGGTGCCCAAGGAGGGTTCTGTTAAAGGCAGAGGGAAGCCATGATGAGACCCACCTTCTGGCTCAGAGCCAGAAGGGGAGGAAGGAGCGGGTTGGACTCCAAACCTCTGAGAACCTCACCTCCAGGAGGCGAGCAGGAGGGAGCGTGGGTGGGACTGGACGCGAGGGCCACGGTCCCCAAGGGCAGCGCTGTCGAGAGCCAGGTGTCCCCCAGGGGAGCCCACCGGGTGCCCGGAGAGCCTCAGCCAACCTGGGGCAGACTGTTAGGCGTCCCTGGGCGCCTGGTGCGTCCTGACGAGTGGCCCTCTGAGCAGCCTGTAGAAGGGCGGCGGGGCGGCACCGTTGGCCAGATGCCCGGCCCTGTTCCAGGTGGGCCCGGCCGGCCCAGTCCCTCTCCGGCCTGGCGGCTCCCGGCGCACCTGAAGTAGTCTTCCAGAGCCCGGCCTGCGCTCGGAGCCAGCGGAGCCCGACAGGCCATGAATTTAGCTTGACTCAGTCTCCCAGCTGCTTAGCGTTCTGTCCGCCTTTCCGCGGGGAGTGGGACCACAGAGGAGCCAACCACTGCAGTGTGGGAATCCGCTCAGTGCAGTTTCTGCCTCTGGCCTGCTCCTGAGCCCGCTCCCAGGGGTCCCGGGCCACAGTTTCTTCCTAGGAGTGTTTGGCTGGAGAAGGGCATCCTAGTCCTCCTCCTCGAGAGCTCAGGCGCGCCCCCAGGCGCCAAGCCCCCTGACCCCTGCCCCACCTGCTGTCAACCAACAAGGGCAGACAGACAGACACACCGCCAGGATGCGGCGCCCAGGAAGGCCGGTGCTGAGCGCTCTCGGAAACCGAGACTCGCCTTTGAGTGTCATTTCACCTTTTACGAAGCCCCTTCACCCCACGATAGACTGACTTCAGCTGCCACCTGTGGCCTGTGGCTCATTATCTTCATTTGCAAACACACGAGCAGGCTCAGAGAGGTGGAGTAACTTGCCGCGGTCACACAGCTGCTGCCCAGGAAAGCCAGGATTAGAATCCGGGTCCCTTAGTCCTACAATGTCATGTCGTTGTAGGACAGTGACTGGGGGGCTGGGAGCTGACGGTCAGCTCGAGTCGTCCACTGAGGCTAAGTCACCCTGCCTGAGCTGCGGTCACAGGCAGCACACAGTCTGGAGGGCGCTGACTCTGAGGCCAGGAGGCTGGGCTGGACAAGGGAGATGTTTTCCTGAGTCGGGCTGGTTAAAAGGGTTAAAAAGAGTCCTGTTTGGAGGGAGCTGGACAGACAGAAACAGGGAGGCCGGGCTGCTGCAAGGAAATGCCCCAGGCAGACACCCGGGCCGGGCAACTTCCCCACCCCAGCCCTGCTGTAGAGCGTCTCCAGTCCTCTGAGACCTGAACTTCCGTGACAGTCTCCTCCACAGAGGCGGGGCAGGCCTTGCCCGTGAAGCAGCAGGATTCCTGGTTCCTTGCCCCAGGCCCCTCCACTGACCCCTTGCAGGAGCCTTTCAGCTCCGTAGAAACGCAGGAGGCAGGAGACCCAGCCAGCGCAGAACCACAGACGGGGCCCGCCCAGCTCACGCTGATTTCCTTCCAGGGAAAGGTCTGGATATTTATCTCATCGGCAGCATCTGCGGGGGAGGCACCCTCTTCTTGATCTTCGTGGTGCTGCTGATAGTTTACATCAGCAAAAGGAGAAAACGAAACAGTCAGAGAAATGGTAAGCCCCCTGGCATCCCAGCCCCGCACCGCCCAGGTGCCACGGCAGCCGGGGACCAAGTCCCCACGGGATGGACGAGGCTTGGTCCGGAAAGAGAGTCGTGGAGCCGAGTTTCTGAACGCTGAGGCGTAAGCCGTGGTGACGTTTGTTCCATTGTGTGGTTAGCTCGCTCTTTGAAAAAACAAATTTTTAGTGGTGCCACGGTGGGAGCTGTGAGAAGCTGAATCCAGGTCGCCTCCACCTGTGATGAGGAGGGCCAGCTGTGTGGACATAATCTGAATAAGCTGTGTGTCCCTGCGTGGGTAGAAAGTGGAGCCCAAACCCCATTTCTAGGGTCACACATTGTCCCCGACCTGAGCGGGTGGCCACAGTGCGTGGGGCCGAGCTCCAGGGAGCACAGGGGCCGTTTCAGGGCTCAGGGCTCACAGAGCACACGTGTTCTAGTCCCCCGCTCAGCTTCCTTTCCCAGCTCGCTGCTCACGGGGGCTGAGTGAGGGCTGGGAGTGTTTCTCCCTTGCATCAGGCCGGATGCTGACCCGCCAGAGGTGAGAGGCTCTGCGTGTCGGCCGGGCACCCAGCCAGTGTGTGCAGGGTCTGGGCTGGGGAGGGGACCCACTGCAGGGGTCCAGCAGGACTGTCCAGCCATCTGAGGACCCAGGGCCAGGTAGGTAGCCTCCTGGGGTCCAGGCTCACGGTCACACAGGGCTGGTGTGGACTCTGGCGTGGTCTGTCCTGAGAGCGAGCCCACCTCCGTGCCAGCCGCCCGGGCGCCCCAAGCAGGCCCCTGGTCTGCACCACCCGGCCACCTCTGGGCTTGCTTGCTTTCCACTGACATTTTTCCCTGGGCTGCTGGGTCCGTGCCCCACCCTCCCCAGCGCAGCTGCTTCCACTTCCCACTTCTGCACCGCCCACTCGCCGCCCTCCTGACAGAATGGCTCGCCAGGCCGGCAGGCAGATGGACTTCCTCGCCCTGTGTCCGCTCAGCCTGTTCTCGGTCCCCCTCTTTCTGCCAAAGCGCTTTGTCCGAGTGGTCGAAGACCCCTCTGGAAACCTGTGCTTTCACCCTGCTGAAGTGAATCTCACCTGCTGAAGTGACCCCCACCCTGCTGAAGTGACCCCCACCCTGCTGAAGTGACCCTCACCCTGCTGAAGTGACCCTGTGGCTAGTTCACCTTGACAAAGCAGTTGCTTGAACCAGATGCCAATCTCTGCTTTCTGTTCACCCCCTCATGCAACATTTGAGTGCCCCTACGAGCTTGCAGATGAGGAAAATGCAGTCCACTTTATCCCGCGGCCTGTGGTCATCGGCTAAACGAGGACGAGGGCCAGAGGAGCAAGAAGGCCCTCACCCTCATCTCTCCCGGCCTTGCGCCACCCCCAAGGGCTGGGCTCGAAGACAGATGAGGGAGATGGACACCAGGCCTGAGGCAAGTTGGGGGGTGGCTGAGGCGTGGGTGTGAGCAGGTGGGGGCAGCATCCTGCTGCAGCAGACGGACTGACCTCACCCAGCCCTGCTGCAGCGGACAGACTGACCTCACCCAGCCCTGCTGCAACGGGCTGACCTTACCCAGCCCTGCTGCAGCGGACGGACTGACCTCACTCACTTGCAGCCCCACACCAGGCCAGTCAGCCGGGTCTCAGCCCCTGGCCACATCCTACTTCTCTGCAGGGCTCACAGGGGCCCTGCGCCTTGCGGGGGGCCGGGGCGCTTACCTGGACTGACACTGTGATTTGCAGCCCTGGTTTGTGTTGCGCATTTGACTTTAGGCTCCTGAGTGTGTCTGAGCCTTGGTGATGGCACCTTCCCCTAGAGGACAGAGAGGACAGGTTTGCAGAGCAAATGAACAAAACCAGGTGGATGGTCCTGGCAGCAGGGGGCCTGCCCCTGCCTGCCACATAGGGGCGCACATAGGACTCCCCCCATCCCGAGGCTGGGATGGAGCCAGGGTCACAGTCCTCTGGAGTCTTCCAGGGCGTGACCTCAGGGGATGGGGCAGGGGGTGTTTCCTCTCTGTGGCCTCTTTTCCGGCTTCTGCGTGCAGTGCCTCTCCCTTGCCCAAGCCCTTAGCCTGACTGAGTCTGTACACACGCAGCTGTCTGAGGCCTGAATTTCTAGTAGTCAGACTTAGGAGCATCATTCTGAGTCACAGGCTGAGGGCAGCCGCTCCGCTCCCTCGGGGCTCATCTCCCGGGGCCCACTGGTCCCAGACCGGCCTCCCGGGGGTGAAGGGAGGGGGCTGGGGGGCTGGGAGGCTGCATTTTAGGCTCAGGAACTGCAGTCCGGAGCTGCAGCCCAAAGGAGGCCAGAGGGGCCGTGGACTCCGGCCTATAGCAGCGAGCCCTCAGCGGTTTCCTGTGACCTTCACACAAGAAGGACAAGGACTTCAGTGTGTGCCCAGCACCTGTCTCCACACTCCACAGCCACACGGAGCAGAAAATCCCCGGGGGTGGTGGGAGGAATTCGTTGCCTTCAAAACCTCTTCAAAAAAGAGGACTGGGCTGGCTTTTGCATTTCGGAGAAACAAGCACCTTTCTGAAGACGGAGCGGCCCGTCATCTGTAGCTAACCCTCCCGCTTCGTGTGGGCTGTGTGTCAGCAGGATGGGGTGGCGGAGGCTGCACCGAGAGCCTGGAGGAGGTGTCTCCAGGCTTCTGCAGCTACCCAGAGCCCACTCCTGGGGTGCTAGGCCGAGGGTGGTGGCAGGGTGGGGGGCTCCCATCCCGGGGGGGCCCAGCACAGGGCCCTCTGGCTGCCTGACTTCTCCGAAGCGCAGACTGTCCCTTGCTCGGGTGATCATCTCTGTCTCGCCCATTGGCTTGAAACCTTCAGAGAACAGCGGGGGCCTCTGGTGGCCTCTGCTTCTGCTCTGCTCACCCCGCAGGCCCCTCAGGGAGCCTGGCATGCGGGAAGTACCCCAGGAAGTAGTTGCATTGATCTTATCTTGCCGAATTGAACTCTCCAAAGTTTCTATTTTTGTAGATGAGAGGGAGGGAAGAGTGCCCGGAGGAACCACCAAGGAAGGAGGCCAGAAGCCCTACCAGTTTCCAGGCTCGGAGTCTCCACACCCAGCCCTGCTGCAGCCTCCTCCACCGCCCGCTCACCGCTCCCACTCGCCGGGCCTGCGGGCGCCGCCTCCCGGCCTCCGAGCCCAGCAGCAGCAGAGGAGGGCGCTGCCTCCCCAAGGGGCTCAGGTCCCCCAGCAGAAAGGCCCCCCCCTGCCCAGACCTCGAGTCTGCCCGAAGCCTCCCCAAGGAAATGCAGAAAACATGTGACTCTGCTCCTGATAAAGCTGTTCCTTTCCTGTAATTGAAGGTGACAGGAACTGTGCTCCCATGCAGGCACCGTGGGAGTCCCCACGCCAGGTGTGCGTACCTGCAAACTCATCAGGTCGCGTGCTCCTCGAGCACATTCGTCCTCTCGGGCCACCGCCACGTCTTCTAACTCAGCCCCGTGATCTAACATCTGGAGCACCTGCCTCTTGGTAAATCTCCCTTGAAGCAGAAAGGCACAGCAAGGCAACACCTTTCCCCAGGATGAGGGTGATGAGCCCGATCCTGGCCATCTGCTGCCGCTCACTTAGGCCAAGCGCACATGCAACGTCCGATGGCCGCCATGCCCGCAGCTGGTCAAGAGATGCTTGGGTTTCTTCTATGGCCGGTGGCTAGTGGCCCACCCTCCAGTGAACAGAAGTGAATAAAGCTTTAACTTGACCTTGTGGTCTACTCATTGTAGAAAGGAGCCCGGCATCAGAGCTGAATGAGAAAAAGCCTGGGTGGTGTTACAGCACCATCAAATTTGGTCACCCCAATTCACCCAAGCCATCTTAACTCCCACCAAGACCCCAGAATCCGCCCCCAGATCTCAGCTGCAAATTTGAGGCCATTACTTATTCACCCATTTCTATGATGACTGAAATTTCTATGAGCAATGTCTATGCAAAGCACCAAAAAACATTATCATTGGAGTCTCACTTCTGTGACTGCAGACACAGTCACAAAGATCGGTGGCGTCACCCTTGAAAGGAGTGGAGCCCGTTAACAGTAGAGGTAGCCAGGCACATGTCAGACAACAGACCCAAGGGCAGATGAAGAGACAGATCCTCAGTGTGTGACAAGAGCACTGTGAAAAGGTCAGACGCCATGTCTGCTTCACTGCCATGCTCATTGTACTTTGGGGGAGGAGGGGGAAAAACAGTTTTCAGTTAAGGTTATAAGGCGGTGAGAACACACCTGCTTTGAAATGTGGGTGCCATGTTTGTGGTCTGCCCGCCTGCTTCTCCTAGCTTCTTAGACTTGCTAACACTTGTTAAGTTTCAGCAGGAAGCTCTGAGGTCTAAACCACAAAATCTACTTATATTCAGAATTTCCTGTGAGAACTGCTACGGGCTGAATTGCTTTTTTTCTTTGAACATGAGGGTCTATTGCTTTAGCACCCAAAGTTATTTATTAAGGATAATGATGAGTGAATCTCATGGTTTCTTGAAATACAAACACAAAATCCAGCTAAGCAACACTCACTGGAAGAACAACCAGGAGGTCTCAGTGCTGGCCTTTTCTTATTCCTCCATGCAGTCCTGACTGATTCTCTCTGTTCTCCAGCCAGAATAGCTCTTGTCTTGATGAAGCCTTCCCTGGCCATTCCAACCCGTGCTCTGCCTTTCTTCTGAAATCCTGTGGTATCACGCATGGCACAGAACATATTGCCCGAGTGGTTCTATTTACCATCATTCATTCATTCAACAAACATTAACTGAATTTCCAGTAGGTACCAGGAACACACAGGTGGACAATCACTGTCAAGGCGTTTACAATCAAGTTGGGAGCGAAGGGGGGGAGATGACAGGACAATGTACTGCAAAGGCAAGCCCAAGAGTCAAGAGGGAGGATTGCGCGGTGGCTGAGGTGACACAGAAGGCTTCCAAGAGGAAGCAGTAACTGCAATGCGTTGTAATAGAATAATAGATGGTGAGGCTGAGGGGCAGAATACTCCTGGAGAGGGTTAGCAAGAGCCAGGTTTGGGTCACTTCCCTGTTGCTACAAGTAGGTTGTCCCTAGCTTTTTCATCTACTGTATTTCATTGCTTTTAAGTGGCTTCATTAAGGAAAAACACTCTCAAGTGTTTGAAAACAAATGCTAAGATACAAAGAACTGTTAGGTCTGATTGCTGAGATGTTCGCCTGTGAAAAAACCCAGGCATCTTGGACTTGTTGACATGCAAAGTGGATAAGCTTCTTGAGGGCCTTGAACAGTTGTCTGGGTGTGGCCTGGAGTGCTTTGTTGAAAATGTCCCCAGTCAGGCCCTCCCTGGTGGCACAGCGGGTTAAAGCACAGAACTAAGAAGCTAAAGCTACTTCTGCATGAGTTGGATCCCCGCCTGCCCGGGAGGTGACCACAGGGCACAGCAGACCTCTCCTGACCCGCCTGCTGCTCCCCTCAGCAGTGTGCTTCGTCGATCTGCCTGTTCTGCTCCCCACTCTCTCCCTGGTGAATCCTCTCACCCTCCGCATCTCTGGCCTGTACCCCAGTTCTGTGTGAATAAATAAATAATTAAGAAAAAAAAAAAGAAAGAAAACGTCCACTGTCAGCTGGGCCCATGGGTGAGCTCCGCTGAGTTGGAGGGAGCAGAAGTGAACAGAGGTAGCGTCTACATAAGATCTTCCCTCCTGGCTAGTCTCGTCCATGATGCAGCCATCATGGGCCTTGCTCACAATTCTCACAATTTACGCCACCAGCACCCAGCTGTCTGACTCTGTGTGGCCTCCCTCTGGCTCTGTCCCAGAGCCCAGACTTCCTGGGGAACCTCAGGCCAGCGGCAGAAGATTCCCTGTGTGGCTCATAGGGAAAAAAACCAAAACAATGATGCAATAGCTAAGGTTGAAGCCCCAAGTCTTTCTGTCTCTTTTTTAAACAACCTCCTAGGTAATTCCAACAGGCTTTCAAGTCGGGGAGACACGGGTCTGCTGGTTCTCCATTTGTCTGCTCAAGCTGGAGGACTTCCGAGAGGCGACAGTGTGGAAAGGAAGACAGTGATGGCCCAGCTCACCCGTCCTCACAGGGGCTTTCCCGCACACTGGAAAAGTCTTCAGCAACTTGAAGGGTTGGAACATCCCAGTGTGTCATACGAAGATGAAAAATTTCAGGCGTGTTGACCACTTCTCTAAGGAGCTGGGTCGGCTGGGCTCCCAGGGGCCCTGGGTGGTGAGCTGGGCTCCTCAGGGCTCATTTTATCTCTCAGCCAGGTGCTCCTCACACACTCAGCTGTCCACAGCCTTCTTTCTGACGTGGTTCGTGAGACCCCCTGATGCTTTCTGTCTCTTCTTGAGCTCAGGGTAGCAGCTACCGGGCCGGGAGTGCTGGCTCTCACTCATCCGCATTGGAAGTCTGGGCGCTGACTCAGCCCCTTGGTCTGAACCATTGGCTTCTCCGTTTGTCAAGTGGGGACAACAGTGCCCAGGTCCGAGTGAGGACCGACAGAACGTCACATTTGTGCATGTGACCAGCACGCCCTGGTGTGTGGATGACACATGGTAGCTGTGAGCTTCCTTCCTGGCTTGGCCCCGGAGAGGGGAGAGTCTGAAGAGTGGTAGTAATGGCTTGGTTGTTGGGGGGAGACACCCCGTGAAAAGAGAATACACAAGCGTGCTGTGAGTGGCCTAGTGTGCTGAGAGCTCGCTTCCCCGATGAGTGTTCTAAGCTCAGGACAAACGGCTGAGGTCCTCGACCAGGTATATAAATGCTCAAGTGTAGACCAGTGAGGCCACCTCACCAAGGCTGGTGTGAACGGGCACCCAGCAGGGCCACCCTTGTGACACATCTGGATGTCAGCACACAGGACAGCCTGGCTGTTTAGTTACAGTCACATAGCAACAGGGTTGGGGAACTGGGGGTAGGATTCTGGCTTTTTGAAATCCTACTTGCCCACAGATCTACCCACCAGTTAGGGTTTTCACAGGGGAGGTGTTGTAATGACTGTTTGGGGGTGAGAATTACATTTCACGGATTCAAGAGAGCAGTGAGCCAGTCTTTGAGGTGCAAAAGGAGCAGGTGGCACAGAGCCATGTGGACGGGGTGACAGGGACCCCAGGGAGCTGGGGAGGGGCACAGCAGCAAGGCAGGGGGGTTTCTAATTAAGGGCAGCAGATCTGCTCAAATGCCAGGTTTTACTTCCTTCTGAAGCCCAACAGAAAGAACGTTAAACATAACAAAAGTAAAATGCATCCACCATGAGGATGAAGAGAACAGAAAACAGTAACAGAAGCACAACTTCACGAGCTAGAGAAAGCAGGTGAAAGGTTGGTCTCGGGTAAGAAGTCTTCAGAAGCTGAATCAGTTGGAAGGCAGCCATGGTGAAGCTAGTGTGCAACCTGGTTCAATTCAATTAATTCTCAAAAGGAGCAGGACTTCACAGCACTGTGTCTCCAGCAGAAGGAATGAGGATGAGGCTGAAACAGAAAGACGCATGAAAGATCTGTCTAAGGCTATCAGACCCCAGGTCCCATCCCTCACACCACACAGACCAGTTACCTGAGCTGAGGCCTTCAGGTTAATGCCCTGGAAGTGGTGAAGCTGAGAATGTTTGGGTGGGGAAATACCATGAGCAGTTGGCAGAAGCAATTAATATTAAACACTGAAGGATTAAATAAAAGTTTTCTGTTGAATGCTGGAGCAGAGCTTCTACCACACCCAGTTGGCTTCTTTCTGTTGGGCTTCAGAAGGAAGTAAAACCTGGCATTTGATTTATTAGATTTATTAGAAGGACTGAGGATGAGGAATCTATGCATAATATCTAAAATGGAAAAAATTAAAAATCAGTGATTTAATCATGTCATTTAGGGACAAGGATATAAATACCAAAATAATCTTTAAATTTTTGAGGTTTCTCTCTGGAGAATGAGAGAGGGGAGATGGGGCGGGGTTGGGGGACTCAGGAAGCTGCTGTTAGTACTATTATTCTTTATGTTATCAGTCTTTGCAAGATCAGTTGACTCGAAGCTATATGTATATTTAACCTTGACTCAAATGAAAATTACATCTGCTAAAGAAAGTGAAATAAAAAGTAAGGTAGATTAAAAAAAAAAGCCAACTTAGGCAACTGATAGAATATTCAAACTGGAGCCCAGGAAGACCTCGGGCTGGGGAAGGTAGCCCCAACCAGAACAGAACCATGACTGGAGACTGAAGACTCAGGAATAGGCAGGATTCTAGACGTCATCGCAGGACGTCATCCCACATTCCTGAGGCAGAGCAATGTCAAGAGCAAGGTGGCAAGGTGT